CTGTGCCTGCTGTTTCAATAGAAGACTGCTGCCCATGCTTGGAGGTTGCTGTTTCTGCTGCTGCCGATGACGACGACGACGACGGTGGTGGTGGGGCAGATGACGTGGAGGCAGAGCTCTGGGCTGAATCACACGCGAGGTCTTGGTCCTCAATTGCAAACGCCGGTGGCGGCTGCCCCGTGCGTGCAGACGAGCGCTTGATGGCAGCGAGGAGGAGCGGTGATGGCGGGGACGATGACGACGGCTCTGCCTGTGCCTCTGCGCCCATGGACGCTGAGGAGGACGGGGATGCTGTTGCTGCTGTTGGCAGCGCCGGCGGGCGGGCGCCTGGGCGGTCGGGTGACGATGCGCACGACGACGAGGAGGAGGACGAGGCGGTGGAGGAGGTGGAAGATGGCGGGGGTGATTGGAGGGCGCGTGAGCGGTAGACGCGGATTGTGACGGCACGGCGCAGCGGTGATGGCGGCTTTCGCTTTTGTCGCTTCTTCAAGCCACCCGCGCTTCCTTCTTCGTCATCGCTGTCTCCGTCGTCTTCATCGCTGCTGCTGCTCTTACTGCTGGTGCTGCTGTCACTACTGCTCGTCGTGTCGGCCTCTGCCGTCTTCGCGCCGGTGCTTGGCTGCTTGCAATCGGCAGCTGAGGGAGAGGATGAAGACGACGAAGAGGATGAAGAGGAGGCGGTGTCGTCTGAAGAAGAAATGGCGCTGGTGTCTTCAGCGCCCGCGGCACCGCCATCACCAGGATCACCCTTTCCGGCCGTCGTCGCACGCTGCTGCTGTTGTTGCTGCTGTTGCTTCTTCTCACTGTTCTCCTTCTCCTCTTCCCTGACTTGCTGCTGCGCATCGGCAACCACTTTTCCCTCCAGCTCTGTCACTTTCGCCCTGTGTGCCACTGCGTTCTTGCGAGACGACGATGGAGGAGGGGTGGCGATGGTGGTGGTGGTGGTGGTGGTGGCGGAAGAAGAGGGCTGAATGAGGACAGGCCCTTGCGTGGGCTGGCCGTCAAACCCGGTGTACTCGACAACAATGCGCACGTCATGGTCGAGCTCATGTGCAGTGCCGGCCTCACTCGAAACCGGTGCATTGTCCTCATCCGCTTGTGGCTGCTGCTGAGTACCGCTGCTGGCGTCGCAGGTGCGTGTGTTGTCGTTGTCGTCATCGTCGTTGCACGAGGGCGAATCCTCTGCGCAAGCAGCTGTGCTGTCCTCGTGCTTGCATGCATCGCTGGAGTCATCGTGGTGCTTGCATGCATCGCTGCAGTCATCCTCGTGCTGCTGCTCCTGCTGCTGCTGCTGCTGCTTCAAGTTTTGGTCACTGCACTCTTGTGCGGTGGCGTCTGGTGTTGTGTCCATGTGCTTGTCTGTGTCCTTGTCTGAGATTGGCGGGCATGTGGGGAGGGGCACAAAGGCGACGGCCCAGGCGTCCTGGTCGTCGCAGGCGAAGAAGTCCCGCTGCAGGTGCTTCCACAGGCAGCGCTGGTGCAGGGTGATGCGCATGCTCCTGTCCTTGCAATTTGTCATGCGCACGTTCTTCTGGAACGCCATCTCCACCAACCGGCCCTGGCGTGTCGCGGTCATGGTCTAAGCGAGCAGGCACGGCACAGCAACAACAACGTCAAAACAAAAAAAAAAAACGGATGGACACGTGTGTGTGTGTGTGTGTGTGTGTGTGTGTGTGTGTGTGTGTGTGTGTGTGTGTGTGTGTGTGTGTGTGTGTGTGTGTGTGTGGTGTGTGTGTGTGGTGTGTGTGTGTGTGTGTGGTGTGTGTGTATGTGTGGGCGTGTGTGTGTGTGTGTGTGGGCGTGTGTGTGTGTGTGTGTGCACGGGGTGATGACAGGAGGACGCAAGCAGGTTGAGGAAGGGGGTGAACGCGCAGTGGGAGACGACGAGTGCAAAGCAAAATGGTCCACGTACAAAAAGAAGATGATGAAGCAGGTGGCGCGAGCGTGTTTGAGCAAAGTAAAGACTGGCTGTGGTGTGGGTTTGTTTTTGTTTGTATTGTTGATGGCAAATGAGTTAGGAGAAGAACGAACGCATGCACGCATGTGCGAATGTTATGTGTGTGTGTGTGTGTGTGTGTGTGTGTGTGTGTGTGTGTGTGTGTGTGTGTGTGTGTGTGTGTGTGTGTGCATTGTGCGCGTCTTCGCCAATACAAACACAAACACAAACACAGATACACGAATACAGATGCACAAATACACAAATAACAATCGCGTGCACAAAGACAAAGGAGACACGAGCATGCAGGCATGAGGAACAGCATGCTTGCAAGCAGAACGACGTACAGTTTTGGGGGGGGGGTGGCTTCTCGTGAAGCGCCTCCAAGCAAGTGAGTCAATGAAGGTGAGCCTGAATGCGTGGATGGCAACCGCACACAACAGAACAAAGAACAAAGCACAACAAAGAAATAAGGAAAAAGGACAGGTGGAAGGGTAGGCAGCAGGTGAGCTGAGATGCGTAGCCGTCTGTCAGATGAGATGGAGGCGGTGCTGTGCATGTGCGGGAAAATGCGTGCTGTCGTTGTTCACGCGTGTGGTGTGTGTTCTTCTCCTTCCGCTCCTGTTGCTTGTTGATGGGATGAATGCGTGGGATGGGTGAGTACAAAAAGAACCAAACAAAACCAAAACAAAACTTGCCGTCTGCACTGTGGCTTGCACTTGCTCGCGCGCGCGTGTGTGTGTGTGTATTGGTTGACGTTGGCTTGCTCTTGGTTGGTTGCTCGCGTGTGTGTGGTGTTGCTCTGTTGTTTGGTGATGCGTGTGTTGGTTTGTGGCCGCGGTGGGTGATGGGGTGTTGTGTTGGCTGGGCTTGGCGGTGGCGTGGACGCCAAGCAAGAAGGAAGGAAGCGGAGATGTCGACGGAGGAGGAAAGACAAAAAGGCCAGCCGAGACCGCGGCAAGCAAGCAGGCGCAAGCAAGGCAACAAAAGCGGCGGTAGGACACGAAGGACACAAATGAGGCCAGTCACACGGGGCGAAAGTCGCAGCACCAGCAAGCAGCAAGCCAAAAGGCAAACAAGCAAGCAAGAGAACAAAACGGCACAACCGTCACTCTGCCCATCTTGCCCTGGCTTGGCTTTGCTTCGGCGGCTTGGCTTGGCTTGGCTTGGCTTGGCTCATCAACAACGATACGTGTTGGCTATTTTTTTTTTCTTCCTGCAGGTGGGACGTTTGGTTGGTTGGATGAACACGTGGGGCACTGTGAAGGACGCCATGTGCAAGTGCTCGCCTTGGTTGCAGCACAACGCCACCATGAGTCGTCAACGCCACTTTTGCATGCAGAATGCAACAGTTGTTCGGTGGTCGTGAGCAAGCAACGTTTGAAACCAGCTTGTTTGTGCGAGCAAGCAAGCAGGAAAAGTGGTGTGTGTGTGTGCTCGTGCTGTGCCTTGTGTGTTTTGCTTGCTTGCTGGCTTGCTTGCTGGCTTCGTCGTCATGTGCCGTACACGCACACACGCAGCGGCTGTGTGTGTGTGTGTGTTGTGTTGTGTTGTGTTGTGTTGTGTGTTGGTGTCCTCCTCCTCGCTCCTCCTTCATGCACCCTCGTTCCTCCTTCTTTTCCTTCTTCTGGAGAGGGAAACAGGTTCATTTGGGAACACATCGTGTGTCTAGCCGTCCAGCATGCGAGAAAAAACAAAGCAGAACCACATGGGGTTGCCTGGGCTCTCACTCAAAAGGAGAGGCCAAGAGGAACAGAATGAAAGGAGAGGCGCACGCACTCTCACACACTCTCACACACTCACACACACACACACTCACCCACTCACTCACACACACTCACGCACACACGCACACACACGCTTGCTAACACATGCGCTCGCACGCGCAAGGCTTCCGTCAACAGAGGAAGCGCGCAGTGCGGATGCAAAGGCAATAACAAGGCAAACAAGGCAACCATCATCAGTAACTCCAGCCATGAGAGAAGAGGGATAACACCCAAACGCACGCACCAACAAAAGGCGTTCAGGAGAGAGATGAAAGAGGGAATAAACAACGGGGGGGGGCGCGGCCACCAACCAGCAAACCAACCCTCACGGTGGGGGAGGGGCTGAAGCAAGAGAGACAGGGAGAGAGAGACAGAGACAGAGACAGAGACAGAGACAGAGACAGAGACAGACAGAGAGAGACAACAGGCAAGTGCACGCACGCACACACAGAGATGGGAGTTTGGCAGTCTTTTGCCTTCCCACTCAATACATGTATGTGGAGAAGTACACTTGCGCAGCGTCCGCGTCTTGCTCTTCTTCCTCTTGCCGGTCCTTCCTCTCTTGACTGGAGGGCGACGAGGTGGTGGACAGCGGCGATGATGACGATGGCGAGGAGGTGGCGGTTGCATTTGCGACAACAGCGGCAGCGGCGGTTGCGGCTGTGACCGGGTTGGCGCGGCCTTGTGGCGATGATGACGACGACGCACAACTCCTGTCACTGCCGCGGCGCGAGGTGCTGTTGTTGTTGTTGTGGTCTGTGATGGGCGGCAGCGGCAACTGCGGCGCGCCGTGCCCGTACATGGGCTTTGGGTTGCGGAACGACTCTGGCAGAACAAACTCCATGGCGAGGGCCTCCTCGTCGTCGGTGGCAGAGAAGGCGCGCTGCAGGTCCTTCCACATGCTGCGCTGCAGGAGGGTGCGGCACAGCGGGCGGTTGTCGTCGTTGCTCAGCTCCATGTTCTTCACGTACGCGCAGTGCACGAGGTCGCACAGGTTCATGGTGGCGGTTGTCTGGTAGCTGCTGCGCTCAAAGGGAATCAACTTGTTGATCTCCGGATTCCTGGACATTGCCAATGCCACAGAGAGAGAGAGAGAGAGCGAGGCGAGGCGAAGAGGAAAGAAAGGCAAGGGTGGGGGAAACAAGGAACGCTGCAGAGCAGCCGTCGGAGGCGCGCGGGGGGAGGGGGCAACAGATACTGAAGGGAGACCAGCAGTGTGTGTGTGTATGGAGACTTGCCGCACTAAGGCAGGGAGTGCAACAGTAGTGGGCGATGAACCAACAAACAGTGGAGTGGAA